TCTACCATCGACTCTTGATTCTGCCTCTTAAAATCTTGCCATGAAGTTCCCTTCTGCAAGACTCACAAATGTTCAACTCTCTCAAATGCTGAGTGCCTGGTGGAGCAGCATTCATAAAGCTGTGTCTGAAGAATTTTCACATCTCCACACCACACCTCAAGCTTTTGTAAATTGCAGCTAAATGAATTCTGAACCACATGGCACCGTGTTGTAAGATGAATCCTTACCACAGCTTATCGTGTAAGATCCATCTGGTAGATTTGCTGCCACTGTTCTCCTTACCTGGTAGGGATCTGCAGAGCCTGTTTAGTCTGGTGTGATAGATGAAAACCATCCGATAGTTTGATCAGACTTATTTCTTGTCTTAAACAAGAAATAGTTTTTGCGTGATAGCAACTAGGTACAAGTTATGTTGGGGTATGATAAATATTGCCACCGACACTGAGGGAGAAATCAATATTAGCTCCTTCCTTCTTTGAGACCCAAAGGTGTTTTCTCACCTGAGTTCATTTGGCGTCAACACATTGGGTGGTGCTTGAAGCACACCTCAGTATTAACCCTTTTCGTCCCTTACACCCTTATATAACAGCCTCACCTGACTGTGGACCTGATTTTACCACATTCTGTGATGTGGTGTCAATCCTTGTTCTTATTGTGCAATTCTGTTGCTGAGGACAGCAGGGAACCACACAGTTGCAGAGAAAAGTACGAGAGACAAAAATAAGCTGTACACATTCAAATGAAACATGCTGGAAGTTTCTGAAGCAAACAGCAGCATCGTGAGGTCATTCAAAATGAAATGTTTCTACAGTTCTGCAGTCCCGCCCACCACCTCCAGCTTTCAATCTGCCCAGGTCCCATCAATACCCTGTCACAGGATAAAAGTGCTCCATGTCAATGGCTGTCTCATTTTTTGCTTTAATTCACAGCATTTCGAGGCTGGCTGTTCCTCTTCAGAGCATGAGTCATTTTACAAATGCAGGATTGTTTCCACAAACAGCATTGTGTCCCTTAGCTTCCCTCTAAAGAAGGAGCAAATTGATTGGACTTGTTGCTGCGATTTATTGACAGGGGTTCAACACGTGGGCAAATCGAGATTTTTGTTCAGGATGATTGTGGGATCTGTCTGTCCTCTCAGGTAGAAATAAAAGATCCCAGGGAGCAATGTGCGTAAACACAGGAATACTCCCTACGTCCTGGGCTGCACAGCACTGAAACAGGGCTCATCGATTTCATGGTGGGATCTTGCTCTGCACAGACTGCTTGCTGTCTTTCCTAGTTACAACAACAACAATACCCTAGAAGTGCCTAGAAAGCTCTACAGGATGTCCTGACCACGTGGAAAGGTGCTATAGAAATGCAAGTCTTTCTTTCGAGGTAAAAAAAACACGAACCTTCAAGAGGTGATGGCCTAGTGGTATTATCGCTGGACTATTAATCCAGAGACCCAGATAATGTTCTGGGGACCCGGGTTCGAATCCTGCCTCGGCAGATGGTGGAATTTGAATTCAATAAATATCTGGAATTAAAAGTCTAATGATGACCATGAATCCATTGTCAATTGTTGGAAAAGCCCATCTGGTTCACTAATATCCTTTAGGGAAGGAAACTGGCATCCTTACCTGGTCTGGCCTACATGTGACTCCAGACCCACAGCAATGTGGTTGACTCTTAACTGCCCTCTGGGCAATTAGGGATGGGCAATAAATGCTGCCTAACCAGTGACGCCCTCATCCCGTGAATGAACAAAATAAAAGAAAGAACTGTGCTCCGATCCGCTCTTCCTCTTCCCCCCGTAACCTTCAGGAATGGCCAATAAACAATGGGAAAGCTGCCAACCAAATCATTTCAAATATAAATCATAAATAGCTAGCAGTCAGGTACAAATAATTAAAAATGCTAATGGAATGTTGGTTTTTATCTCAAAGGTGACCAGAATGCAAATGGCTGGAAATGATGCTGCAGTACATTGTTATGGAGATTTGGTCAGTGTCCCTGGAGATGGGTTTAATCCTGGACACTGTACCTCAGGAAGGATATATTCACCTTGCAGGGAGAGCAGCCCCGATTTCTGATGAAGGGTCTAGGCCCAAAACGTCAGCCTTCCTGCTCCTATGATACTGCTTGGCCTGCTGTGTTCATCCAGCTCTAATGGTGTTGCCTTTACAAGATTAGACAATCATAAAATGATCTGATAAGGTGAATAAAGAGAATTACCTTTGTCAGAAAGGAGTGTAGATGATTGGGAACATTATGAAAATAAATGTTTTAAATTTCTATGTAATTTGTCACTGGTTAGATCCCAGCCAGAGTGTAGTGGGTTATACCTTATATAGAAATTCAAGCCCTGAGGGGAAGGTGCTGTCTAGACTGACTAGATCGATACCAGGGGTGAAAGATGTCTCTCTCTGATAAGAGAGCGGCCCTATGATCTGGTTAGATTATAGCGACTTAACATCTTCAGCTGCTTCATCAATGACCTTCCTTCCGTCATAAGGTCAGAATTGGGGATGTTCGCTGATGATTGCACAATGTTCAGCACCATTTGCGACTCCTCGGATACTGAAGCAGCCCATGTTCGCGTGCAACAAGACTTGGACAATATCCAGGCTTGGAGTGATAAGCAGCAACTTGATTCACATCACACAAGTGCCAGGTAATGACCATCTTCAATAAGAGAGAATTAAACCATCTCCTCTCAACATCACTGAATCTCCCACTCTCAACATTCTGGGAGTTACCATTGATCAGAAATTGAACAAGACCAGGCAAATAAATACTGTGGCTAGAAGACCTGGTGAAATGCTGGGATTTCTGTGACAAGTAACTCATCCCCTGACTCTCCAAAGGCTACCCTCCATTCAGAAGGCACAGGGCAGGAGCATCAGGCCACCAGGTGGCAGCAGCAACAACAAGATGCATTGCAGTAATTCACCAAAAGTCCTTTGACAGCACCTTCTAAACCCAAGAACTGAACCACTGCTACCACCCCCCCCCCCCCCCCCCCCCCCTCACTCACCCCGAGAAAGAAAGAGCCAGCACCACATGGACTGCAGAGATTCAAAAAGGCAGCTCATTGCCACCTTCCCTGGGGCAATGAGGGCTGGACAATAGTTATTCAACTCATTCACGATACCTGCTTTCTGTGAATGAGTAAAAAAGATTTGAAAGCAAGGATGAGAATTTGTGGCTAGGCTCTGGAATGGTGGAAGGAATCGATTCAATCTAAAATTTCTTAAAAGATGTGGACCCTGAATATGAGCTCAGTTGCGGGGTTATAAGAAGGAAGTTGCAGCTTGGGATTAAATTGCACTCTCCTTCAACGAGCTGACACAGGAATTGATGGATGAACGGCTCTATTTTATGACAGCAGTTGGAAAAGACCAAATGAACTATATGAACTAATATTGTAAACATGTCCCCTCCCTCTCTAAACGTGCTTATTTTCATCCTCAATGGAACTCGATGAAATGTTTTCAGTTCTTCTGATACAGGCTGTTCCTCTCTGAGCTGTTGTTCCATGGAATATATTATCAAACTGGTTTACAAAACATTGAAATGATGGGCTGTGCTGGAAAAGACTTTAAAGTCTGATTGACAATGCCACAATGACTATAGGTTTGAATCTCTCTTCCACATTCCCCTCTGTATGAGTACGTAATCCCCATAGGTTACTCCTAAATGCATGTCCTGCATTTAGATAGAGTCCTCACTATCCTGGCAGTGACTTACAGAGAACGGGAACAGGCTGGAGAAACCTCTCAGAAGAGTCAGCAGAAACAGTTTTAAACTAAAACAATCCAGAAGAACTGCGGACGCTGGAAAATCAGAAACAAAATTGCCAGAAAAATTGCCGGAGCCATTTCGGAAGAAGGGTCAATGGACTCGAAACGTTAACTCTGCTTTCTCTGCTGCCAGACCTGCTGAGCTTTTCCAGCAACTTCTGATTTTGTTTCAGTTGAAAGTTTTAGTGTTTGAGGATGGTTTTAAAAGTGGGCAAGCTGGGAAGAGATAGAGCAAGAGAGGTTGAAGAGAGAGAGAAAAAGGCAGGGAGAGCAAGACAGTGTGGGTTAAAAGGGTGAGCTAACCTCCTTATCTAGTTTTTATAAAAAACTAAACAGTACAGCGTTTGCCAATGCAATCACTGACTATCCACAGGTATGGCTTTGGCAACAACCTCAGCATTAATTTCAGTGAAAATGCCTCAGACACAGTTACACAATGAAGGTAAATATTTGTTTTCACTTGACAAACATCTCCTACCATTCAGGTAGTAGCCATAGCAATGATCCACCCACACGCTCTGTTTTACAAATGACCATTTTACCAACAGATCCTCAAGGATGGTGTTCATGTGAACAATCAGTATAAGTATATTCAGATAATAGTCCCAACAACACTGCCCATTCCTCATTTTAGATATTTTTAAAATCAACCTGTTCAGGTTTGTTATAACACATCTCTGAAAAGGTGGGACTTGAATATGGATCCTCTGTCCCAAAGGTAGGAACACTACCACTGTGTCACAAGAGTCCTCTGTTACTCATTCTATACTTACTGCCATGGAATGCAATTCTCTGTGGCTGGATCCCCAAATCTCCACATCGGGATTCTCATTTCACCACACCTCGATTCCTAAGGCCCACGTTTGAATTGCCACTTCTCTCAAGCTGGAATCCCAAACTTACAAACCTGGATTCCCAAATCTCCACACCTGGGATCCCAAATTTCCAAACCAGGATTCCCAAATCTCCACACCTGGGATCCCAAATTTCCAAACCTACATTCCCAAGTTTCCACACCTAGATTTCCACCTTGCTACAGGTGGCTGCTGGATGGTGTGAAGTAGATTCAGTTTTGGGGAAGTTCTAGTTCTGCAGTTAAGGTAGATATTAACCAATTTTTCTCGATGCGCGTTGGCAAACCCATCAACCTACTGACTGTGAAAGCACAGGATAGGTCAGTGTGAAGAGTACAGTGCAATGGGCTGTGGGACTCACTGGAGGAACGGAGAGACCAGGGTTGGTAACCATAATAACCGGTGATCCTAAGGATACGTTCCTCAATGGAACTGAGGCCAGCCGAGGAGATACTGCTCAAATCCTCAAATGATCTAGATGCTTTCAGATCCTCCTTGATGCATTCATCCACGACCAGGTATTTGAGCTGGCGGAGCTGGGGGCTGACATCTGATAATCTACGGGGGCTCACATCAGGAGATCTGCGCATAATCCTGCAGGAAAAAAACAAGTTTGTTTTTATTCCAAATATACACCTTTTTTACAAAAGAAAATTTTTATGCACATACACAATTAATGAAACCGTTCAGATCTATACTGTCTTTACTTATAGAGAAAAAAACAAAGTTTTGCTTTCTCTTTTTACAGTGAACCTGTAGGCATTTATCTGAGGCATTGGGAGGGTCTGATAGCTGAATGAACCCCCGTTACACTTTGTCAGAAAAACCTTACACAGTGGTCCTTCCCCATTACACCTTGGTAGCAGCTACCCCAAGCTTTATTACTTGCTTCAGTGTGTGGTCCTGGACTATGGAATGTGACAGTCTGTAACAGTCAGTTGGGGTTAACCTTTGAACTGGAACAGCTGCAAGTTTCAGGCAGACCAAAGGGTATCTTTCGCCAAGTTGATGGTACACCCCACTCCAGGTGCAGTTGATGTTTCTCTCGGTGTGTGTCCTGGGGAACAGACCCTAGAGCACAGACTTCTGCGTCACAGAGCTGTTCAGGACGAACCTTGACAAAAACCACTGCTTTTCTCTCCAGAAATCCTTTGCAAAGGCACGATTGAGAGGGAGGTGTATGACAGTCCCATTCCCAGCCCCTGGAAGCTGCTTTGAGGGCAGCATGCAGGGGCTGAGGGAGTCTGGACACAGCATAAAGGATCTCACAGAGAGTCACCTACTCACCACCAGCCAGGCAATGTTCGTACAAGTACTGGACAAGAGAGAGCAAAGTCACTGCGCTTCTGCTCAAAGGGCACTGTGCAACTGGTTAGAGAGGAATAAGGTTGTTGTAGATAACACAGTGTGGGGCTGGAGAAACACAGCAGGCCAGGCAGCATCAGAGGAGCAGAGAAGCTGACGTTTTGGGTCTGGAACCTTCTTCTCAATATCTCTGAATAAGATTGCTCTGCTGCTTTTTAAAGGAGACTGACCACTACCTACTTGTAATGGGGAATAAGGTCAACCTGGGACAGAGGAACATAAGGATTTTGTTTCTGTTTAAAGAGGAGGAAAGTCACTGTGCTTTTGATGTAGGAAAGGAACATTACTGTAACTTAAGAATCAGGTTAGAGGGAAAAAGGTCACTGTGTGTTTAGGTAAACAGGAAAAGGTCACTATGCCGCTGATTAAAGGGGAACATTATCACTGTGGCTCTGGTTAAAGGGGAACAATGTCAGTGTGTCTCCGGTTAAAGGGAATAATGTCATTGTGTCTCGTTAAAGGGGAGCAATGACACTCTGTCTCTGGCTAAACGTGAACAGTGTCACTGTGCATCTGGTTAATGGGGAACAATGTTAGTCTGTCACTGGTTAAAGGGGAACAAGTCAAGGTGTCTCTGGATAAAGGGGGACAAACTCACTGTGACTTTGGTCAAAGGAGAATAATGTCACTGTGTCACTGGTTAAAGGGGAACAATCTCACTGTGTCTCTGGTTAATGGGGAACAATGTCACTCTGTCTCTGGTTAAAGAGGAACAAGGTCACTGTGTCTCTGGTTGAAAGGGAACAATGTCACTGTGTGTCTGGTTAAAGGGGAACAACGTCACTGTGTCTCTGGTTAGAGGGGAACAATATCACTGTTTCTCTGGTTAAAGGGAACAATGTCATTGCGTCTCTGATTAAAGGGGAACAATGTCACTGTGTGTCTGGTTAAAAGGGAACAATGTCACTGTTTCTCTGGTTAAAAGGGAACAATGTCACTGTGTGTCTGGTTAAAAGGAACCAATTCATTGTGTCTCTGGTTAAAGGGGAATAATGTCAACGTGTCTCTGATTAATGGGGACAAATGTCACTGTGTCTCTGGTTAAAGGGGAACAATGCCACTGTGTCTCTGGTTAAATGGGAACAATGTCACTGTATCTCTCGTTAAAGGGGAACAATGTCACTGTTTCTCTGGTTAAAAGGGTACAATGTCACTGTGGGTCTGGTTAAAGGGGAACAATGCCACGGTGTCTATGGTTAAAGTGGAGTAATATCACTGTGTGTCTGGTTAAAGTGGAAACATGTCTTGGTTATTCTGGTTAAACGGGACTAATGTCACTGTTTCTCTGGTTAAAACGGAACAATGTCAACATGTGTCTGGTTAAAGGGTAAGAATGTCACTGTGTCTCTGGTTAAAAGGGAACAATGTCACTGTGTCTCTGGTTGAAAGGGAACAATGTCACTGTTTCTCTGGTTAAAAGGGAGGAATGTTACTGTGTCTCCGGTTAAAGGGGAACAATGTCATTGTGTCTCCGGTAAAAGGGGAACAATGTCACTCTGTCTCTGGTTAAAGGGGAATAATGTCCACGTGTCTCTGGTTAAAGGGGAACAAAGACACTGTGTCTCTGGTTAAAGAGGAACAAGGTCACTGTGTGTCTGGTTAAAGAGGATCAACCTCACTGTGTCTCTGGTAAAAGGGGAACAATGTCACTGTGTCTGTGGTTAAAGGGGAACAATGTCACTCTGTCTCTGGTTAAAGAGGAACAAGGTCACTGTGTCTGTGGTTAAAGGGGAACAATGTCACTCTGTCTCTGGTTAAAGAGGAACAAG